CCTAAAACTCTCCATAATTGAGTTCTTTATTTTTAAAAACCTCTCTGCTATACTACTTTATTAGTACTGGCTAAAAGTTCGATAGAAAATTTGGATTCCTAGAATCCTAGGAGTTTAACTTATAAAGAATAAACACACCGGAAAAAATCTTTCTACTATACTTATTTATCAGAACTTCAGTTAGGAATATTCATTTTGTTAGGAATTTATAAAGAGCAACCATATTGGAAAATAGAGCTTTGTACTGCTTGACTAAAATTTCTTTGTTGTTTAAAAAATGTTTGAATAAGAGGTCATTTTGGGTGCAAACTCAAAAAGCAATGCTATCATAAAATAATCATAAGAAACTTTATTGGCTTCAAGCATGCCAATTTAGCTCGAGAGAGATGATAAGCCAATTTAAAGCTACACACATAATTAAAACCATACCTTGAAAATATGCTTCCTTGGTAGAGGTACCAACACCGATGTCTTCTTCCTCAAATGCGTTCTTTTTTCATTTTGGTTCTCTATGATATGAATAAAGAAGGTAATAGACATTAATTGGCTTTCAGGATGCCACTTCAGCCTGAAAGAGGAGACAAATGAAAAAATCAACCTTAGCCTTGAAAGATGCATGTTTATAAAAATGCATCTCAAACTTGGTTTATATGAGTAAATGTGATCTTTTAGCTAAACCTTTAACTATTTTGATCCCTTCTCTTATCAAATGGTTCCTCATGAAACACATTTTTTAGATCCCAACCACCAGTACATTCACTATTGAGCAGGTTATAGACAAATATAGTCACCTACTCACCTTATTGATCATATAACTTGGACTTTGAAAAATAACTTGAAACGAACAATTAATACTCACTTGCTCAATGTATAACTACTCACTTGCTTTATATGCTGAAATAAGGTAAGAAGGAAAAAAAAAAGGTAATGTTTTTCATGAAATGGTGAACAATTTGATATTTAGAACTGCATTATATAGAATATACATGCAAACTCACTGAAATCATCATTCATTCATACTATGCTTAGTTAAACTAAATCATAAAACATAAACAACTCCCATTTATTGCAAGAGCTGCTTCTTTAGCCATATTAATTGCATATAGATTTTCTAGAAAGGTATATTAACCTTGTTACTTTTCCTCTTCCTACTCCTGCCGGAGGCATCTTCGCCCTCGAGCCCAAAACCTTCAAGTCCATGTTACCTTGGATACCCTTTGAGTTCAGAATTTGGAAATCCAACTGAAGCTTTTTTCCCGGATCAAGTACATCATCATCTTCCCCTTTATCTGAATTTCCTTCATCTTCTTGCAGTACATCTTCATTGACTTCTGCTAAGTTTTCATCAATTGGTTGAAATTTATCATTTGAACATATATTAAGGAATTTAAGGAATCTTATAAGGATCGGAGTGGATTATGATTATACCTGCCAAGCTCAAATAATTATGGCCGTACCTTGACACCAGAAGCCCCGGGCCAAACCCGAAGAAACCTTCTCCGTCTTATGGAGAGGCTGTCAGTCCGCTACTCACCTCACCGGCCTCTTCCTCCCCCTCCTTGGAACTACCTCCGCGCGATTTTACTGGTTTCCTCCCAGATTCGTTAATTTTAGTCTCATCTCTCTGCTGGCTACCGTTGTTGAAAAGGAAAGCCCCATGTCCGCTGTCCCTGTCCCCAAAATCGGAAAACCGGTTGTTGAGGTACCTGGTCGCGAGCGGTCTCGATCGGCCTGCGCGGACCTTCTATGGCCCTCCACGCCGGATGCTTTGCCATCTCCATGCCCAATTTTTTGGTAAGAGTCAATATGCCGGGTGCGTCACTGCTAGCCGTCGATAGCCAGATGTTTTGACTCCTCCATGCCATCTAGATGGAATCGACGATTTCCTCGAGCTGCCAAGTACAGGTTGGAATACCCAGCACAACCTCGGCGATTTCCTCCTCCATGCCATCTAGATGTGGTTGTATGGACTATGGAGTTTATTTTTGATTTATTCGATAAGGGAAAACCAAGTACTACCTAGCACAGCTTTCAAAGATTACCCGTGACCGGACACTCTATTAACTTCCAGACATTCAAGTGGAATTGATTGACCGAGATTGAGACATTTTTGAGATGGTTTTCCACCTCTTTTTATATAGAGGTAGATTGGATTTATGTCGTTATAATTAAATTTATAAAATAATAATAAAATTAAAATGATTTAGAATTATAAAATTTTTACCAAACTTTATATGAGACGATCTTAATTGGGACAGACAAAAAAAGGAAAAATAAGAGAATTTTAGCAGAATAGAGACAACTAGTATATTTTAATTTTTTTAATAGATTAATAAAATTATCCAATTCAATCACTGCAATCAAAATTTCATAAACTTCAATAGAATCAATAGCCAATTTGAGAATCACAAACGTGTTCTAATTATAATGCAGCGAACTATTCAATTCAACCAAGCTCGGCGTAAATTCAAGAAACTTCGAGACTCATTTGACCTATATAAGGAATATTTTGTGATGGATGAATAAAATACAAATAATAGGTTACATAAATCTGCTTAGAGCAGAAAGATACGGAGTATTTGATTGTTGACACAAAAAGAAAACAACCATATCCATATGGAGATATGGTGATAGAAGATTGAAAATTCAGACAGATATACCTACTTGTTACGTTCCTGGAGAAGATTGCCATGCCTACTAGGCTATGGCCGTCATAGGTGCTATAGGTCAGTTCTATTTTTTCTAAGGCATCCTGGTTTTACTATGTCTAGTCTTATAGCACCATTTATCACATCAACCATTGTTAATGTTCATATAATTTGTAGACACTTAGCACATTTTCTTATCTACACGGATAATTATTGCATTTTTGTAAATGAGTTGATTGTCTACACATAACTAGTGTGCATATTTTGTGTATATTTTACACTCGCATGTGTATACAAATATTTTCTGTTTTTTTCCTAAATAAGATGTCTTTGTACACCGGAAAGAGTGTCAAATGTGTGCAAATTATGTGTACAAATAGATTTTTTCTTGTCACATGTGACTATCGTGCATCCTTTCCAAGCAAAGCAAGTCTCATTTACTTTTAAAATAAGACTTTATAATGGTTTTTATTCTTTAATTTATAACTAATTATAAGGAGTAAATAAATCTTCAGTTTAGAATGAAACATCCCTACTGCTCTATGCGAACTTTATCAATTTTTACTCCTAGCTAACTAATCCAGTTTCTTTTGCTTTTTCTACACCAATTTACTATCATATCGTTTACATACTAATAACTCGGAATGTTATTAATCATATCATCAATGGTTATATTAATTCAGGTCATAACATTTGTTATATGAACGCAATGCTATTAGAAAGAAAAATTCTTGCAGTGTGCTTGATCGGACAATGCACCTATCCACCACATTTAGAGCAATACTGCAATAGAGCCCCTTCAAACTCTCAAATTGGTTACATCGGCTAAGTTTATAAAGTTCTGACTGAAATAGTGAAATTGACTAATTATGATGATTTATAAAAAATTATATAAAAAATATATTTTATTAATAAATCAAAGAAAAAATTATATGAAAAGTAACTTTAGCTGAAATGATTATCTATTTTAACTTTAGTCAATTTAGTCGGAAAAGTAATTTCAAATTTATTTAATTTGATTATTATATAATTCAGCGCATGAAATCAAAATATACAATGTTTTTTTTTAAAGTTGACTAACAGAGCTAATAAGCCAAAAAAATAGAGTCACCAATTCTTGAGACTCTTAATCTTTTATTATTGAAAAAAAACTAATTTGATAGGGGTATAGAAATAGAAATATTATATTATACATAGGTGGCTAGCTAATCAATAATCATCTCAAAGTTTTCGCAAGCTATAACTTATAGTGGATGATATCTATCAATAATCATCTTAAATATCTATGAATAATCATCAACTTAATCACCATTTATTTATTTATTTTTGCTTTCAAGACGCCATCCACGCATGTTATTTCATAATTGACGGTTTTGAAAAGTATTTATATTAATAATAAAAAAATCTCATAAAATAATGTAATAGTCGTATTCCCAAAACAGCTCATTTAAGTATAATATCTAACACGATTTCTTATCAAGTTTTACAAATATTTTATTAATATATGATGACTTGACATCAGCAAAATTGAACGATCTATCGAACAATATAAATATCGAATCTTAGGACAATAGTTAATCACTTGATCAAAACAACTTTCTTTAACGACAGGGTGTATAGTCACACGTCAAATTGATAATCAATGTCTCTTTTGTGTTTTGACTCTTCTTGGTTATATATATACTAGTAGCTACTCCCTCCGTCCCGGAAAATTCTTCCTAGTTTGACTTGGATCGGAGTTTAAGAAAGTGGGAATAAAGTGGAAATGTGTGGTTGTAGTTGTGTAAGAAAAATGTGAAATGAATGTGAGCCACACAAATAATCAAAAAGGTGAAGTTGGAAGAATTTTCTGGGACGTCCCAAAAAGGAAAGTTGGAAGAATTTTCTGGGACGGAGGGAGTAGTTGATATCTACTTGTTGATTACTCCATATCCGTAATATGATAAACATTAAATTGCTTAATCTGTCCATAAGTACGCAATAATTTGTTTTCTTGTGACCAAGCGGATGTACTTGCGTGTTTTTATAATGCTGAAATTACAATTAAAAATTGTGCTAGATCATCATTAAAAATCTGTCCACTTTAGTGTGAAATGTTTGGTGAATCTACTTTAACAATCATATAAAACAACATTATTGCATGCCTGTATTTTCTCCTCTTATGTTTCATTTTGACTTTTCGCACATTATAATTCGTCATGAATGACAATAAAATAATTATCAGTACTAAACATTCCTTTTTTATATTAGTTAAACAATTATCATCAACTTTTGATATCGGAAACATGATTATGACTACCATTCTACCAATAATGGTGACTGGGGAGTAGTACAATTATTATTTAAGAAAGAGGGGCATGCGAGCAGATTATTAAGTTTTCCATCCACATAATAAGGTTAATGAGGTGTATATATATTAAGGATGGGAGTATCATAATCTATTAGCACTAAACATGATTAGTGATAGTTCTAGGCCTCTTCCATCTCAATGGAAGAACGGAGATGATAGATCCAAGATGACAGGGAAGAAGCTCAAGTTGTTCGGGGTCGAGCTCGACTACTACTACACGTCGGGAGGAGTCGAGATAATTCGTCACGAAGATCATCATGATAGTAGTGTGAATAATTCATCATCATCTTCTACAATATCATTTGATAGGAAAGTAACTATGGTTAAAGCATCCTTAGAAAACAAGAAATTTGAATGCCAATATTGTTGTAAAGAGTTTGGAAATTCCCAAGCTTTGGGAGGACATCAAAATGCCCACAAGAAGGAGAGGATGAAAAAGAAGAGGCTCAAATACTTCCTCCCACAATCACAATATTGCAACATCGGTCCCTATGGTTATGATATCATCAACTATGACCCCCAAACATCTTCACCTTCATGTGTTCTTGGTCCTAGCTCCCAAATTAGGTATTTGGAACCGTTTCTTCAGGATTCATCCGAGTTCACACTTACCAGTAAAGACATGCCTTGTAGAAGAAGGTTGAAGATTCAATCAGCAAAATCTAGAGATAATGGCCATGTGAATTCGAACAAGCCATATAATATGAATCCAAGTTTAAACAATCCTTGTAATAACTCTTTAGATCTTCATCTTGGATTGAGCTTGCTGGATTCACCACACTAGCTTGCTAGCATCTTATGGTTCTTCATTTTTTTAATGTTATTCCATCTATATATATTATATATATACAACACTCCTAATTAAGAATATCTTTTCTTTTCCGTTTTAAAATCCATAAACTTAAATCTTTATTTATTTTTAATCCTTATTGAAACACGTATTACACGTTAAAATTTGCGTGCAAATCATATAGTTACCCAAACAAGATCTATCACTTGAAATAGTGCATATTAAGATCTATCCACATATCTATATTATACTAGTTTTGTGTCGCGCGATGCGCGATTAAGATAATGTCCAACAGTATTCATATGCCTGAAAATTATGTAATAACATATTATATTGATTAGGACACTGATTTGTATTAATCCTGCAATTATGTATTCAATATGATATTTAGTGAAATAAACATCAATCCCAAATCGTACAATTTCCACTACATTAGCATATAAATTCATCCACAACACACCAGATTAATAGGAAAGTAAAAGGAGGGTTTATAAGTGTACACAAAGAAACAGTAAGTATTGTTGTTACATAATAGAATATGAATATCAATTGTATTTTGAACTTTGGAATTACACTTGAGAAAATAAGAAGCAACTCAATAACCTCACTGAAAGTGCTTTGCGGCCACTTCTTTTGGCTTTTCACCGCAGTCCCCGATTTCTTTTGTTATATTTTTGTTGTTCATGTAATATTCTGGTTGGTTGCCCATATGAACACACTTAACATACATGTGTTATGAAAATTGTTTCACTTGTACAATCTAGAAAAGGACAATAGTCAATACTCATTACTCAATATGCAGGTGCCAAAGGGGAGCATTTCCAGAACTGTCACATTATTCATTTGCATTAAAATAATTGGGTCGTAGTTTTTTATGTATTTCATAGAAACTAATAGCAACGTCAAGCAGCAGGTTTTTAGGCATGCTGAAATTAACAGTGACGTTTTATAGATTGTGCAATGATAAAATACACCTACAAAATATATGAACACATTCTAGATCATTTTAAATATAAACATAATGGTGAATCGCAAAATTGGGAGCGACACCACTCTTTATCAAGTGACACATAGAGGCAAACAGAATGGAAAAACGTGTAACACTTGAGGCAAAGATAACATTCATATCCTCATTTGACATTTTATACTTTTATATGCCTTGGAAAATGAGTTAGTATTAAATATGTTTAAGACAATAGTTAAGGCATATCATTTGTAATTTGTATGTATGCATAAACATGGAAGAGTGGAATCTTCTTATCTCACAGACTCTTAATAAGTCACTGTTGGTGAAAAATATGGAGAACTGAAAATAAACAGATAAATGTTGTAACTTTTTTGGGCTCAGGACAATACCATCAGCATTTACATTGTCAGAGCGTGTTGATCCGAAGTTTAGATAACTTAAAATAAATTGAATTATAGAACCTGTTCAATGAGAACATGATCAAGATATTACCACCTTTTTATCACAATAAAGGTTGACAGACTCCTAAGACAAACAACCCAGAATTAATCATTTACTACATACTCCAGAGTCCAGACAGCTGACTAAGTAGCATACACATGGGTATAATTTTTAAGCACAAATGTATTCAAACTTGGGTTTAATTATCCATCTATGATGGTCTTAATTGTTCATCTATTTCTTACCACGAATGCCCTCTTTCTAATAACGTTAGTTCTCCCTTTACCAGATATCGGCAATTATAACTTGAAATTGATGGTCAAATACAATAATCCAACATTTATATTAAATTCAAGGAAGCATGGCAAGCAGTCCCTATACAATGGGGAATGGTTCAGATAAGTCTGAAATAAGAGCAAGAAGTTCAAACCCGGGTTACTTGATTTTTAATTTTATATAAAGAAGTCGAAGAAGCAAAACACACAGCTTTGGTGGTATCACATTTTTGCTTATAAAAAGTCAAGAAGAGTAAAATATCACTTTAAGTTATTAATAGGACAACTAACTTCAAAGGGTAAAATATTTTTGGACTAATTACGGTGGAAAAATAAAGCCTGGCACCATCATATGTAATGAACTTCAACCTAAAGCCTATGCAATAGGATTAGTATACTTTGTTTAGATCAATGGGAAAACTGGGGAAAATTAACAAGTACATATACCGATATTTTCAAAGTAATAAAATGGATGCAAAAGTATTCCTTAAATAGTTTAGAATGCTATACATTATTTATCCTAATCGACTGCTCATAGAGGAGCCTTCACAAGTGTGAATCTATCTTAATGGGTTGCTCATTGAGGAGCTCAGCTAGTAAACTAAACGAGGACATCAGTTTAACCTTGTAGACCAAGTGTGCTCTAAAAGTTTCCTTATTTCAACCTAGTTTCATTGACTAATTCAAAATCCATTCTGATTGTGATTTTGTATGATTTGGGTTTATGATTTGGGTTTTTCTCCAATTCAGGAAGGAGCATGCTTGGTTTGGAGAAAGAGTTTTTTTTTGTGTCATTTTCATGTAATAAAAGTAATAGTTGAAATAAGGAAAATCGTAGAGCACTACTTATACACATCATAACAAACATTTTTGAGAAATAAAACACTCCATTGTTTTTAGAACAATTATTAATCATCATTTAGCACTTCATGACTATCCATCACCTCATTGTGTGTATAAACATCCATTTGTAATTTATTTTAATACTACGTATATAATTTTAAATTTACAAAGAATTCATGAGTGACACATAAGCTTAACTTTTGTAATGGGGGGAGACAAAGCCAAAAAATAGGCCAATACACATGAGGGGGAAGCAAAACCAAATATAGATTGCTCCTTAGTTTTTACTGACATAATGACATGTTAGTGTTTGCTTTTCCTATGAAAGAAGTATCAACTTCCTTTCCCATTTAAATCATATAGTTTTTCCTCATTTTCCCAAGATAAGATCATTTGTTAAAAATGAACAATATACCTTCTTCATTAGAATTTAGCCACTCATACACCTGTCCTCAACGACGAATCTGCAATCCATATCCCGACATTTGCAAACACTGCCATTGTAAGCCATGACAAAATGGCACAATTCCCTGATTCAGTATGGTTAAAAGTCAACACCCGCAGTTAAAATAAACAACAAAAAAGACTGTATCATCACATTAACTGAAGCAACGGCAAATATTAATCTCACTTGTAGCATGTGAGCAAGAAGACTTAATAATTGTTGCTAAATCTTACTCTACCATTAAATTTTGATAGCAGTTCAGTTTCATGCCCAATAACTACAAAGGAAACTGCTTTTGCAACACTTGGAAACACCTAAATCATGACATCACTTAAATCAAATATATGTTTTATGGAAAGTGAGAGGTCTGTATGCAAAATTCACAAGATTTAATAACCACCGAAAAAGAAGACAAAAAATGTGATTTGTATGTCATGAGACTTAATTAGTTGTGAAAACCAGTCTGCAAGTATAATCAATCAAAGAATACAAATAACTACCTGGTGATAATCATATGAGTAAACATATGAATGTGCATTCATTTATCCTGGTGTAAGAGCACATTAGAGTGGACTGATATATAGAAGGGTCATCTTCTTCCTTGTTCCTGAATTCATGCTAGCTAGATAGAACACATAAGTTGCAATAGTTTACCCTTTAAAAGGTCCAACAGTAGAATTTCTTCAGTTTATCTCACCCTTTTGGTCTTGGTATTAAACGAAATTCTAGATTTCTTTCCCTTGAAATCTCAAAATCGTCAAAGACCCAGATTAGGATTTCTTATTCACTTAATTGACCCACATTAATGGAAGTCCCGAGAACACCGCAAACTCTTCACTAAATATTACCAATGTCAATTCACCTCTTGATCTTGACAACTACAAAATTGACGAACGGAAAGAGTAACTGGGAGGATTCGTACTTACCCGTCAAAGGTGACAGAAGACATTACAGACTCGCTACTACCCCACGATGCCAGGCTAGAGTGAAAAAAACTACGTAGTATATGTATGTTGATGGTTGGCGGCCAAACTGGAAAGATGGAGATACACGGAGTCATAGTGTGGTAGAGCCTTAGAGTGGTAGGTGGAGAGATTCAAAAACGACGTAAACGGGAGTAAGACGGCAATGAAAGATCAGTTAGAAAGAGTACAAGAAGGGAAGCATAGTGTACAAGTAGATATAACTATATGTTACACCAACACATTTGCTATACCTAAAAGGCCCTAACTCTCATTCATGTTTATAAGATTTTAGATAGATATAAAAACGCAATAGTTTGAGGAATCCTTTAGAGCATCCACATTGAAGATTTTAACTTTACGGTTTTTCATGGCTTATTATTGCCATGTCACCTCTACATAAGATAATTTCAAATAATCTCCAAATCAATAAATTTCTCATCATTCATGATCTCAATTTACCTTGGATAGGAGCATGAGCATGCACAAATTACAAAGCTAGTCATCACCATAATTATGAGTATATGCCTAGAAGTTGGAAATAATCTCAAAATAATCCAGCTTTAGAATTTGATATCAGATTATTTTATCAAATAATCTCATAAAATAATATCAACTCCTCATCCATGATCCCCAAAAATCCTCCACATCATCAAAATGATCACAAAAATAATCCATGGATGTGGATGCCCTTAGGCGCCATTTTGGGCAGTAATGGCACAATCCGCAACAGTGAATGTATGTTCATTTAATTGTTGTTTTCTATTCTAGAATAGTCTCAATAATTAATGTAATAATGAGGCTGTCTAGCTTTTCCGTATAACACATTAATCAATAATGCTGTCTGAATCATTCATTAAATTGGCCGGCCTTTTGAATTCTCTATGCTAATATGATGCACGCCAATCGGCTACTTGATGGAATATTATTACACATTTCATATAAATGTGTCCATAACTATTTCCTATCCCAATTTTTTCCAAAAACGTACTACCGCCCCATCGCTCCAACGCCGGAATAGCAAAGGTATTGTTTAGATTGTATTTGTGTTGTGTACGTCCCCAGATTGAGCTCGATGTATTCTTCGGATCCGGAACCTCTGCCATACTTCAAAGTAAGGCACGGTGCCCGGCCCTCGGGAACCATT